AAATAAAAAAAAACTGGACAACAACTGAAAAAAAAAAGGAAAAACAAAAGCTGAAAAGAAAAAAATTTAGAAAAAAAAAAAGAGTTTGACATTGTGTACGTTTTTAGTTTTATTTTCATGTCGGTTGCTTATCGAGATCGCATGATCATCTTGCATAGAGCTTGGTTTATGATGAGTTTGTGTGATTGGTTCGATTTCGTTAGCCTTTCTCTTTCCAATCCCACCTTACCCTAAGCCTCATTACAACCCGATTTAACCTTTTGATTTTGTGTTTATTCTTATTCATTTTGGGTGATTGGACGTGATATCTTTGCAAGCTTATGGTAAAAGTCTTTTATGTCTTGACTTGAGCGTACACTACATTTAGCCTATACACTTTGAGTGAAAGAGTGATTCTCGTGAGAAGTGTTGATTTTCTTGTGTTTAAGTTACGTGATTGTTGAGTATATTTCTGGTTGGTTGGTTGATGGGGACTCAAGTTTGACTTGTGTGTTGATGCATGCAATATATTTTGAGTTGGCACTAGATGATAGAAGATGATTGTGAGTTAAGATAATGGATTTGATTTTATGCTTAAGGACAAACATCGTTTTAAGCGTGGGGGTGCTTGATGAGTTGAAAATATATCTTTCTATTACGGTAAAATTTGGACTATGTGTTAGATATTTGTGCTTAACTGATGTGTTTTCAACTTTATCACGTATCTTCAAGTAGAAACTACCTTTGTTGATATTTTTGTGCAGTTAGATCGCATGGTGCACATATAACCAACACGGCAGCGTTGGGTTTTGTTTGAACATGGCCATGTCAGTATGGACAGAAATTGCGCAGCTTATTATCTGGATGTGGCCCGTAAATACTAAGCCCAATAGAATTAATAGACCAGCTATAATTAAAGAGGAGCTGATCAATTTTAGAAAAACCTACACACAACACGTAAGAGCCGCAAGAGAGCAGACAGAAAACTTGGAACAAGCAGCAACTTCAAGTTCTTATTTCTTTTTCTCTAGACTTTTGGATATTCTTTTGCTAGACTTTATGGAAGCCCTGCGTGGCTAATTTTCTTTTACTTTGGTTGAATACGATTGAAACCCCGAACTTAATACTGTTAGATCTAATTAGTTTTTATCTATTAATTCATATTTCGTATTGATTGTTTTGTGTGTTTATATTTATGATTTTGTGTTAAGATCGTAGTCTGATCAACTATTGTCTTATTCGCTTAATCTATTGCTTGGTAGATATTGAGTCGGATTTAGATAATTTATCTATCATAAGAAGCAATTGAGTGTGCTAATTGACTGGATTTAGGCATTATCATTCTTAGACAAAATAATTATACACGTTAGCATTTAACGGATTAGTTATTTGTTGCTTGTGTTGTCGGGCTCTAATTTGTAATGCTATTGCTAGGATAATTTTACACGATGTTGGGAATTGCCTAGTAATAAGGGTTGTGTAGAAGGATTTCTTTTCATAGCCAATTTAGGAGTTAGGATTCACCATTCAACGACATCTACATATTTATGAATTGATAATATTTGCATCGATGATCAGTAGAATAATTCGGGGTGGAAATCAATTCAACCGGAGCACTTTAGTTATATATTCATCTTCATCTTGTTGTTACTTTTGAGTCTCTTATTTAATAATCTTTTACTATTACTCTCCTTATTTGTTAATTAGGTAATTAGAATTATAAATCAATTCTCTCCCTTTTTAATCACATAGTTAAAGTTATGTAATTAAATTATTCCCCGTGGATACGATCCTTGCTCACGCTACTACATATCTTTAAGCAAGGTTAATTTGGGTGCCTACGACAACACGGCCACAGAGCCTACGTGGCTGCTTCTGGTGCTTTGGAATCCTACTTGGTGAAAAATCATGCTTCGTAATTAGGTTTGGACAAATAATATTGATATATTAATAACTAATAATCTAGGTTCGGACATACCATAAATATTATTTAGCTAACTAAGGTATTTTAATATCATTTTTACTAATAAAACCTTTTAATTCTTTGTAATTTTACATGGTGAAGTACTAAGTGACTAATATATCCCGGACTTTTGATTTGTTTCCTTCAATTAGCTATTGAATTGTAAATGTATTTTAAAAATTGATAACTTTTGTATTTCTTATCGGTTTTACATATATAATATATCAAATTAAACATATTCTGATGATATTCGATTTGACATCCATATTGTACATATAAAATAAATAAATTATATTTATCTTTATAATAATAAAAAATAATAATATTTATTTAGATTTATTTGAAAAATAAAATTATTTCTAAATTGATATATTTATGTTTAATGTAGTTATATATTGTAAGTTTAAAAAATTATTATAATATAACACATGTAAGCCGTACAAATAAAAAAAGTGTCATACTAAATATATAATAATATATATATATTTTTATAAAATGTATTTAAATTTTCAAGTAATTATTCTCATTATTTTAGATTTTAAGAAAAAAAATTAGCAAGCACCCGTATAATACACAAGCGTTGTACTAGTTAGAGGATATTACCTTAAAATTTCTTGTATTTACATATATGAAGTTTTCGCTACAAAAGTTTTCACTTTTTATTTACCTACTGATATATTAGAAGGTAAATGTGTAAGTTACATGAAGATTTTTTTTACAATTTTTTCTCTACGTGTAAGTTACTAGATATTTGTCAACAAATGTTCTAATTTTATGCATATAAAGATTTACTTACAAAATATTTCACTAGTTATTTACGAAAAGATGTATTTTATAGCTGGATGCTTAGAGATTGCCTATGAGTTTCCAATATTTAATTACATGAACATTTTCCTATAAATAAATTCACATTCTAAATGAATCTCATTTCTCGATCATGAGGTCATCAAAATCAATCATACGTCACCCGTGGGGAGGCCCGTACACTCTCATAAGATTTTCTCTAACTGTTTAAATTTAGAAATTTGTTCTGCTAATTTCCTACAATTAACTTTAGTGATGTCATCCGTGGAGAATCTCATACTTCAATTAATTGATTTACCAATAATTAGAAAATAGAGGCCTTAGGAATTTTAACATTAACTTTAATTTAAAATCTCTTCTCAAACTTAGTATTATATTTAATGCAATGTTATCAAAACCGGAACGAACCGGCCGGTTAGACCGGAAACCGGACCTAGTACCGGTCCGGTTTGCATGCTTGGGCCGTTGGGAGCAAAACCAGTATCGAACCGGTTCAAAACCGGTACCGGTTCGACTGGTCGAATCGGTTCTGAATTTTTTAAAAAAAAAAAAACTTGATGAAATAAAAAAATTAAAAAAAAAAAAGAGAAGAGTGAGATAGTATTTTGATGTTTGATGAATTGTAATGTTGAATTGGATATATTTTGATGTTTGATGACTTTATAGTTTGTATTTGTAATTTAGATTGTCTTGCTTTAGATATTGAATTATCAATCTATTGTTTTAGTGAGCTTTATTTAGTATTGTTTATAGTAAACTATAATTGAAATATTGATTTATCAACTCTTGTTTAGAAAAATGTCATTATATGCTATAAAATTAATGATAAATATATATAATTATATATTATACATATAAAATAAATAAATAAATTATATATTAGTTAAACCG